CATAATGAAAATTATGATTGTTAATTGTGTATATATATACCTGTATAACACACTGCATGTATCTGGTGAAATTTCCAGTATTTCTTCATATTGTAATAAACATTGCAGAAAAAACAATATCATAATATTGTGCAGCCCTAATTGCATCTGTGTGCCCAGTAGGGGGTGTCGTTGTCATTCTCATTCATGCTGTTTTTTTATGTGTGCACCTCCTGCTTCTCCTTTTAGTGTCGGGTTATGTATGACAAGAAGCCAGAGAGGGGTCAGGTGATGGGACAGTCGTTAGGTTATGGCTTTGTCCAGTTCCAGGACCACGAACATGCTCTTAGCACACTTCGTTACCTTAACAACAACCCTGACATCTTTGGCTCACACAAGGTACGTTTCTGTGATGGACTACAGAAGTGCATTTAAAAGCAGCTGTTTTTGCTTTGTTGCCACTGTATTTATTTACCTTTTGGAAGTTTTTTTACTTAAAATGTTGGTGTTTATTTGGTTTAGCACACTGGATTATATAACAAGCATTTACATATGTCTTTTCCTGGTCCATAGTGAAGCTTTTTAACTGTGCATTTTATGTCACCCTGCAGAGACCCATTGTTGAGTTCTCCCTGGAGGATTCAAGGAAACTCAAAATAAAAGAATTGCGACAACAAAAAAACAAGGTGCGTTGGTATCAGTTTGTGTGATAGCTACGCCATGGAATCCCGGTTCAAATTGAAAAATGCTTTTGTTCGCTTAGTAAACCTGAAGTAACCTTGTGTGGATATTTTTGCAGGAGTTTTTCAGAAAACAGCCTTTTAAAGGAGGAGCCAAACCTCAGTCCCAGACAGCTGGAGATGGACCTAGGAAAGGTGGAAATCAAGCACAGTCCTCATCAGAGCAGACACCAAAGGAGAGAGGTATGAAAATAATATCTTTGTGTCTTTTGCCAGTTCAGAGAACGAATTAGGCAGCTGTACATGATGGCTTAATAGGTTGTTGTTCGTCTCTTCTGGATAGCTTTTAATAGGTGATGAAAAACAGCTGCTCTTATACACACATGCTGTTCACCCACCATGTTTATACTGTACTGATTCCATTAACCATGTAAAAAGTGATGAACAACATGATATACTGTTCCAAAACAAACACAGTACAGCACTAGTGCTGTTTTAAACTGAAATAAACTTTTTTTTGCTGTTATGTACAGTCTTTTTTACTTGTTTTGATTTTCTCTCTGACTGCTTTTCTGTCTTTATCAGCTGCTCCTTATTGCCAGAAGCAAAGCAGACGCTATTTCGGCTTCCAGACCAACCCTGAGGTCGAGCATATAGATTTGGAGAACGGAAAGAAACGCAGGAAGGTTCTTGCTTTGCCCTCCCATCGGGGACCTAAGATCAGGTACAGTTTTCATTACCTTTACTAGTCTCCTGTCTACAGTTCACTGTGTATATTTCGTAAACATGTCAACAAACACATTTCCCTGGAAAAACCCATATGACAAAACTGATTATGACTAAACCGTGAGCATGAGGCTTAAGTAATAGATTGTGTACTCTTGTCTTTTGCAGAATGCGTGACAAAGGAAAGCAACAGGCCCCACCACCAAATAAAGCAAAGCCCGGATCAAAAAGGAAGGAGCGTCAAAGACGACAGATGGAAAAGCCCACACAGCCCAGAAACCAGGTTCATACGTATTCTGTTGTATATGCTTGTTTGTAATCATATTCACAAAACACCTTACAGTAAAGGGTAGCTGGCAAGGCACTGATTTATTAGAAACTACTACAAACAGTGGCTTTGTCAGTCTTGATATTAAAACTCCTAAGGCACGGATGTTTGAGTAACCTCAAGAAACTTTAAAGCACCAAACAAAAAGATCCTACATCTGTGAGGTGAAAAGGTAGTTCTGAACTTGATAAGAAACGTTCCCAATATTAAAACTATCCTAAAACTGTTTGCTGTCGGCAGTCTCTCACCGTAGAACATTGAAATACTTCATCAGAAAGATATACTGGATTAACCCACGGGCAGAAAAAAATCAGATCCACTGAAGACAGCACTTAATCAGTATGAAATCTAATGCTTTGGTGCCACCAAGTGACATTGTAGTAATAATATTTTAGAGCATTGCATCTTTTTCAGAGCCATGCATTTCAGCCGGGCATTAAAGAATTTGGAAGAGATAGAATTGGCTGATATAATGTTACCAGATTTTTTTTTTTTTTATCTCTTAAATGTCGTTATCAACCTTGAAGACCCCTTCAGTCAAGCTGTGCTTTACACTTGAGACAGTATAACACTATAAAGATGGCAATATTAGTTGGTCTTTTTGTTGACCACTGCAGTTACTTTGTAGCAAACTTTTTTGGGGGGGGGTGAACCAACATTTGAACTGTACAGACTGCTAGCTAATGGCTGTAACTTTTTAAAGGCGGAAGCTGGGCAGGCTTACGAGCTAACACAGACAAGTTTAAAATATACAGTGAGGAAAATAAGTATTTGAACACCCTGCTATTTTGCAAGTTCTCCCACTTAGAAATCATGGAGGGGTCTGAAATTGTCATCGTAGGTGCATGTCCACTGTGAGAGACATAATCTAAAAAAAAATAATCCAGAAATCACAATGTATGATTTTTTTAACTATTTATTTGTATGATACAGCTGCAAATAAGTATTTGAACACCTGTCTATCAGCTAGAATTCTGACTCTCAAAGACCTGTTAGTCTGCCTTCAAAATGTCCACCTCCACTCCATTTATTATCCTAAATTAGATGCACCTGTTTGAGGTCGTTAGCTGCATAAAGACACCTGTCCACCCCATACAATCAGTAAGAATCCAACTACTAACATGGTCAAGACCAAAGAGTTGTCCAAAGACACTAGAGACAAAATTGTACACCTCCGCAAGGCTGGAAAGGGCTACGGGGAAATTGCCAAGCAGCTTGGTGAAAAAAGGTCCACTGTTGGAGCAATCATTAGAAAATGGAAGAAGCTAAACATGACTGTCAATCTCCCTCGGACTGGGCTCCATGCAAGATCTCACCTCGTGGGGTCTCAATGATCCTAAGAAAGGTGAGAAATCAGCCCAGAACTACACGGGAGGAGCTGGTCAATGACCTGAAAAGAGCTGGGACCGCCGTTTCCAAGGTTACTGGTGGTAATACACTAAGATGTCATGGTTTGAAATCATGCATGGCACGGAAGGTTCCCCTGCTTAAACTAGCACATGTCAAGGCCCGTCTTAAGTTTGCCAATGACCATTTGGATGATCCAGAGGAGTCATGGGAGAAAGTCATGTTGTCAGATGAGATCAAAATAGAACTTTTTGGTTATAATTCCACCAACCGTGTTTGGAGGAAGAAGAATGATGAGTACCATCCCAAGAACACCATCCCTACTGTGAAGCATGGGGGTGGTAGCATCATGCTTTGGGGGTGTTTTTCTGCACATGGGACAGGGCGACTGCACTGTATTAAGGAGAGGATGACCGGGGCCATGTATTGCGAGATTTTGGGGAACAGTTACAGCATTGAAGATGGGTCGAGGCTGGGTCTTCCAACATGACAATGACCCGAAGCACACAGCCAGGATAACCAAGGAGTGGCTCTGTAAGAAGCATATCAAGGTTCTGGCGTGGCCTAGCCAGTCTCCAGACCTAAACCCAATAGAGAATCTTTGGAGGGAGCTCGAACTCCGTGTTTCTCAGCGACAGCCCAGACTGATCTAGAGAAGATCTGTGTGGATGAGTGGGCCAAAATCCCTCCTGCAGTGTGTGCAAACCTGGTGAAAAACTACAGGAAACGTTTGAACTCTACTAATTGCAAACAAAGGCTACTGTACCAAATATTAACATTTATTTTCTCAGGTGTTCAAATACTTTTTTGCAGCTGTATCATACAAATAAATAGTTAAAAAAAAAAAATCATACATTGTGATTTCTGGATTTTTTTTTTTTTAGATTAGGTCTCTCACAGTGGACATGCACCTACGATGACAATTTCAGACCCCTCCATGATTTCTAAGTGGGAGAACTTGCAAAATAGCAGGGTGTTCAAATACTTATTTTCCTCTCTGTATGTATTTTACCAGAGTATCAGGCTTGTCCTGTTACACCTCATGACTCTTGTTTTGTTGTTTTTCACAGAAAGTTAAAATGCCAAAGAAGCATTTGAAGAGAAGGGATGGAGACCGCTTTGACAGCCTGGTGGAGCAGTACAAGAAGAAACTGATGAGTAACAGTGACAAGAACACCAGCATCAAACGAAACAAGTGGTTTGACAGTTAATGCTGTGTGTGCGTGTGTGAGGGGAAAAAATTAGTCTTAAAGTGTTTAAGGCCATAACAGAGGTCCTCTATATTCCACATCTTGAGGCTTTTATAGTACAATGGTTCTCATAAATTTCCTTTTGTTTCAAATTGTACAGTATATGATGCCCATGTGTAAACTTTCACTGTCACTTCATTCAGTCTGTTCCTGAATTTCTGTAATCCATGCTTTAAAAACTAAAACAAACAAAAAATGTCAGTATAGTTTTGTTTGTGTACATGCCTTTTTAGAAAAAATATAACAAACCCTTGAATTTGTGTTATCTTTACACTTTGGCAATAAATCCATAATTGTTGTATTGGCAGATGTGTTCGTTCATCATGGCGGTTGCCTTTAGATTCACTTCTTTTAATGCTAGTTTTTAACAGGAGTTAATCATAAGCCGATAGCGTCGGATAAACACTTCCCACGCATGAACCCTGAATGTACAAGTGTAGCAAGAGATGAACACCCCCAGATGACATTATATTTTAACCTGGTCTACGTGCCCTTTTCACTTAATTCTGATCATTACACAACACTGACAAACTTTCATATTACAAACAGTATTTTTGTTAAATATTTATTTATAGTTTTAATCCAGTAGGTATAAAAACATACAAAAATAGACAAAATACCACCTGTGTATATAAATAGCGATTTTGGAAGAGATGATGATATTGCACTGCAACAAAAGTTGCCCTTTACCCTTCTTGTCCATGTAGCTTTCTGTTGATTTTGGCCACCGGGTTTTCAGGAATTTCCGTGGATGACGTTGCTACTCATCACACCCTCTGACTGCAAACAACCTTACTCAGCGGACTCAGCTATATGACTGAATTAATATGTAGATCCATATTTTACACTTGGAGCTCTTGTTGATACAACAGTAGTGTAATAGTACAAACCTGTGAGCAGCGATTTTTCTTTATGTGCAAAGCATAGACCTGTTTGCCTTTTAACATTCCTGTGGAACCCACACTTGCAGCGAAACACGTGAATGAAAAGACTGTTCTTTTTCTTTTACAAAATACCTATTTTCCAAGTACAATATATAAATAAATACATGTGTATATAAATAAGTAAATAAGTAAGAATGTTTGAGAATAAAAGTCCTTAAAATTGCATTGCAGGCGTCACTGATGAAGACTTTCACAATTGTTGCCAGTAACTTCCAATTACTAGACCTAATGTCTGTCTTTCAGCAAGTCTCAAGATGATCCAGATTTTTCAGCAGCAGATTTAGGAACTCCTTCACTCTCATGAGAGCCTCAATGCTCACGGTGTGAATAAACTCTTTTCGACTCTGTAGGTCCTGTAGGGGTCCCGGTACCGAAGGCTTTGGCCGCTGCTCACTGCAGTGCCCCTGCCTCCACTGATCAAGGTAACCCGTCAGCGAAGAGATTTCAAACTTGACCTGAGAGACCCCGTTAAGGTTGTCAGAGATCAGGCTGTTGTAACCCTCCAAGACGGTCACTATGGTGGAAGGTCCATCCAGATCATCAGAAGGTGGGCTGAGAGTCAGGCCAACAGGGACCTGTAGCGAGAGAGAACAGGAAACGGTCAAAAACATGCCAACTTGTATAAGCACTTGAGATTCTGTGTCACCATAAACAGAGCACTAAATATTACCTGGAAGTCTTTGTCCAGCTTAACCACCAGCTGTTCAGCCATCCACTTCACTTTTGATTTCATCTTCACTACTTCCACTGGCAGAGGAGCAGCTGAGCCCACACTTAAAACTTGCAGTATAGAAAACAGGACAGCAAGGGTGTAGTCCATATTTGTAGTATTTCCCCAGATGTATAGAATTCAGAATAGCACTGGTATTTCTAGGAGAAGAACAACAATGAGCAGGTTATTCTTCCTTTAAATGCTGTTTACAGTTACCCATATTTCACTTGCCGGCATCAGTTCATATCCGCATTTCATCATTTCATACAGACACGCACGCTTCCTTCCAGTAATTTACTCAGCATGTTTGATTGTAACCGCAAATATTTGTGATAGAGACACCTGTGAATGTCTGACTGTGTAACAGGTACAAAGATCACTGACTTTGGCTAGCTCAATTATTCTCACCCCCCCTTGTTTCCCAAACCTCTGCTACCATGCTTAGTGAGGACGACACACAATCTCTAACCACAAGAATTTCTCTAAAAACCTCTTAAAAGAAATAAAGTTTACACACAAATAATCTGTATTTAAAATAAATACAAATAAATACAAACTTTCCAAAACTGGTAACTTTTAAACAAACAGATGCCCTGGAAGATCAAGTATGATAATTAACACAGATAATGATACAAAGATGGACAAGTTGAAGCCACAATAAAAGAGACGGTGAATGCAATGGAGAAGAGAGTTGACCTTACCTTCGCTGGTGTCTGAGAATATGCCACTCTTAGGCTCCATCAGGATATCTTATAGCCACAAGTGGAGGGGCTGTTGACTCATCTCTTACTCACCTCTCTCTGAACCCCGAACCCCCCCCACTTGTCTCTCTCCATCTCATACCCCTGAATCCCCTTGTGGTACTGCAGGGGGGCGGGATGCAAGCTGAATATGAAGTACATTTTTGGTAAACTACCCAGTGACATATTTGAGTCACAGGGCAAAAATACAGACAAAGAATTTTAAATTAGGAAGAGTTGTGTGGATGCAGCTGCTGTTGTTGTTGTTGTTTTAGAAATAGTTGGAAAGAGAGTAAAAAAATATGTGTCTTGCTCTCACAGATGCCACTGAACAACTTCACCAGAGCAGCAAGGAGCTTAAGTGTTTGCTCAATGGCGTTTCCACGCTCATTTTAAAAAGTGGCAAAGTGTTTATTGGTGTGACAGATCCACAATTGCAACACCTCCGTATCCCTGTGTAAACTCAGAATGCTGATGTTTAGCAGACAGTAACAATAATGACCTTTCTAATTTTCCAAACTGATCAGTATGCCATATATGTCATATCCTGTGCTGACACTCACTGCTCTGCTCTTTCTAAACATTGCCTAATGCCATCAGATGCCAAGATCAATTACATCAGTATTTATTTAGGATGTACCCACACACAGTGTCTAAACACACCTGTACAGCAGCAGAAAATAAAGAATAGAAACAGTAAAAACAAAACCAAAAAACAAACACATTACAGCAATGACAGGAAAGAGATTGCCTTCAAATAATTTTTGGTTGGCCAATATGACACAGTTCTTCTGACTGATATCATGTTTATTCTTGGAATGATATCATGTAGCTGCATTTATAAATGTAGATTCCTGACATTATGGCCTGATCAGGTCTTTATGTCCATATATTTGGTTTTGATTCAAGTTGAAATAATAAAGACAGCTTTACTACCAGCCACTCATAGTATCTGAGACGCATCTACTCACATATATTGCACACATACTTTGGGATTTGATAAGTGTTTTAGGTAATAAAAAACACATTCACACAAAATAGGAGAATTTTTTAAATGTCACCTTTTCATGCTGTCTAACGCTACGTTTTAGATATAGAGTGGATGTTTGTCTGAGCGTTTTCAAATTTAATCAGATGAAATCATCTTGCAATGATGATGATCTTATGCGGTTTGGTTTGACAGATAAGGGGTGCGAGGATCTAAACACTGACAGCAGTTGCATTTTCTCCAAACGTATTGAGAAAAGCAAAACAGCAATATATAATGGTACAGTAACGTTGTAGGTGATACACTTCCACAACATGATTGTGATACCTTTTACTTGGTAGTACATTTTGACATGACCTAATGTGGGTGGCAGTGCTCTATAATTATATACAGGACCTATACCGGACTAAGTTAATTATGTTGCTGTTGTCCCTCTGATGTCAGTAGTCATTTCTGCAGCGCAAAAATTCAAAAACAACTTTTGTCTTTCATTTTTATCCACCAAGATCATAACATCAAAATTTCCTGAATGAAATTCTGCTCAACAGTAACATTGTCATGTCACATAACAAGATAGACGGCAGCTGTTTCTAATCTAGGACTCTTCTTTTTTACACAGATTACACAGACGCCATTTTTGGAAGCAGATGTTTTTCGCTGCTCCATGGAGAAGGAGGGGAGGGGCTGTGCTGAGCAAGTTTCTGTTTCTCTGAAGCAAAAAGAGTTATTTTCAGTTTTCTCTTAAGGTAACTTACAGTAAATCCTGAAAACTACCTCATGCATGTGCCCCAAGATTCCCAGGGTGTGCGTGCACACACTCTCTCTCACACACATACACACACACACACACACACACACACACACACACACACACTCACACACAGATACAGATGTTTTCATAAAACTGTTAACACACGGTCACTGCTGCACGATGCAGAATAAACAGAAATGTGATAGGATCTGAAAATTGCTGGGAAAAAGACGCACTAAAGGACAAGTTTCTGGGAAGGAAAGTGAATTGGGTGCTTGTATATTCAGCAGGAATAGTGTATTATTCATGAAAGGAAAACATGAAGGAATGAAGTGGATCATATAATTGGATGGCTAATTTCTAAATAGTTTTAAAAGTTTCTTCAGAGCTTTTTCCCGGGGGGTTCAGGAGCTCTCTTGCCAGCAACAGAGCAGGTCTCACAAAAAATAATTTCCTGACATCTGGGGTGAATAAATGATGCTGTCTATTGCTAAAACTATTTTTAGATCAGGATTTTGCCTGCCAGTATGTGACGTCTCATATACGTAATACAGGAAACATTTTAAGATCATTTTGGTCAGGTTAGGTTTCATTTGAACACAGAGTGGATTCATTATATATTCATGGATAATCTGTAAACAAACAGGGCTGTCACACTCTTTCTTTATATTTTAGATGGATCTGCACTATCTGTGGTGTTGCCAATTTCACCTCAGAGGTTAATCAAAATGTGTGTGCTCTTTTTCAGTTTTTTCATCAAAAAGCTTCCCATAATGTGCATGAGTCAAAAGTATTTCCTCTTTGCCAGACAGAGTTGTTAGTTAGTTAGTTAGATTATGAATCTCTTCATTTCATCCACGGTTCTCAGCCATAGTTCTCAGCATGCACTAATTACCTCCAAACAGCAAAGATACACATTTGTGTTCTTTTGTGGCTACATTAGAAACCCAAAATGCAATGGTCCAGAGTTTTATGTCTTGTCCCCATGTCCCCGGGGATCATAGAGGATCATTCAGTCTGCATCCCTGCAGGACAAGAAGTCACCTCCTGGAGTAGGAAAAGTAGCAGTAGGACACTGCAAGGCTTCATTAATAATTCATGAGGTCATTTGTGTCACATGACTTATGGGAGCATATGAGTCACATCCTCAGAAGAAGTGTGTGCCCCTCTTTTATCAAACTCCACACACTTGCACACACAGTAAAACTGCATGTATTGTATCCTTAAACCCTATAAGGTTAGTAGAAAGGATGTAATTACTTTACCAGTTACTCCCCCGGTAGCAATGGCTGCGCCATGTTAACGGGTCTTACATATCGGGTTACTTGTCCAGATGCAGCATGGAAACCAGGAATTCTGCTCAGCAGGACCTGCCTGGATGAGTCACAGGAATGACGGGAATTCAGATTTAGTGATCCTGCATGTGCTGCCATTCAGGACGATGTGTTGTTTTGACCCCCAGACACTTGTGTGACGTTAGCCCCATAAAACCCGTCTGAAAAGACCTGAATCAGCTTTTCATTGCAATGAGTCGGAGCTCTGTGAAAGTGCAGTCACGGCAAGCAATATCTTTAACGAAATAACACATTAAGTAACACTTTCACACACTCTTTTTAGATTTTAGAGATGACAAATACTATGAAAAGCCCAATAACCTACAGTATTACAAAGAATTTAGCAGATAAAGTGTTAGAAAAACACTTGAGTGAATTCATGAAGACTATACCTAGTGACATGTTATGTAAGGTCCAAAATATTTTGCTGATGCTCTTTCCTGCCAGCATATTATCAAGAGGCTGTATATTTCTGTGGATGTTGAAAAATACATTTGAAAGACACTTACAGGAATCCCTGCATCAGCCAGTCAGAGTCCTGCAGTGTCAACGATTTTGCCAAGTCACAGAAACTGACTTACTGTAAATAAGTCATCTGCAGAGATCTTTCTTTGGATTTTAATTCTAAAGGAGGGGTTGATTTGTCATTACACAGCTATTACAACAAACTCTCTATACCACATTAAGTTTAAGAGTTTATATATTAAAGGAATATTCTAAAAGTCATGTTACTATGTAAACATTTTTCATGGAATAGGATACTGTGCGATTTTCTTTTAGTATTCATTCATTCTCAAATTTCCATTGCATAGAGAATGTAGAGTATCTTGAAACATGACATGATAACAGATCATTGTTCTGTAGTAGTAGCTCTATAGTGCAATCCTAAACCTGCACACTTGTGCAAAACATACAGACACACTCCAAGACCTTGGCAGGATGATACAAATAATCTGATTCATAATGAAAGTAAAGGGTCTGACATCAAAACCATCACATGGCCACATGTGCATACTCGCTTGAACACAAACTCTAGAACTGAACCTTTTGTAATGAATGTATAAATACAAAGAACTCAGCTGAGATCTGTTCATTGACAACATGTTGCTGGATGAGCACATAACAATGAAATCCACAAAACAAATACACAATGAACCTGATATTTTTGCCAAAACACACTGGCATTTTGACTGTGCTGTAGTGTCACCATGTTATGCAGGTACTCCTACAAAGGCTGATTGAGAATGATCCAAAAAGTACTAGAGAGGTTATCTTTTTTGTTTTGTGTTATTTTATCATTACCCCAAGGGAGTTTGTGTGCTGTGTAAGGACTGTTAACATTGTTCCAGCTCTTATGAAGGGTGGGTGGAGGGATGCGACCTGGAGTACTGGAATTAAGCTTCTATTTTTCCATTGTAACCCTTCAAACAGGTTTTTGTTATTTGTCAAGAAATATTGTTTGGATCTCAGTGTTGTCCATTAAACCTGTACTTCTCAAAATAGAAATTAGGAAAGTGCTGCAGAGGGAATGCTGCCATAACAAATAATCTCTTTTTGAATCTCTCAGCACTAAAAACTCATGTTTAAAATATTTGCTTTACAACAACCAGAAAGCCTACTCTTTTCTCCAGATGAGCTACTGTGTGATTAGTGTGTAGTTAGTATCCAACACCCATCTGTCCATCCTGGGAATGTGAATGGCACACACACAGATGCTCTGCACAAATGAAGTTCCTAACGGATAAATTAAGTTCTTTGAATTGAATCCATCCATTCATCCCTTTTTAAAGGCCCTCCTAAACATCATATATAATCTGTTCTTTAGTATTTTATATTAATTATTTGGGCAAGTCTGTAAGTGTGTACTGAGATTCTT